ATTTACAGTGGATCTGCATCATTGCATGGTTCAGTAATGGTTGGAGGCTCTGTAGTAACAAATCTAGATGATGTGCACAGAGACTGTATTTGTCACCAGAAACGGTGACAAGTAAAACAGAGTAATCTAATTTTCTGCATCCATCAAACTCTCAGCCATCGCCCTGTCTGGTAAAGCCTGATGGGAACTCCACTTGGTAAACCCTTGGGTAAGACTGAGGAAAGACAAAAACAACTATAATCCCTTTTAAGGGGATATAAAGAGGCTTTACTGTAAACCCCCACTAGCCACCCTTGTTCTCACCCTGGATGACTAAAGCTCCACACACCAGAAAAGTAGCCACATTTTTCAAAGAAATGCTCCTAGTCTTAGTAGCATACCTGCACAATTAATAACCTCCAAGGGACAACGTTGGATGCACAAAACCTCAACCTATCTGACAGAAAGCCAACATCATCATTAAAATAATCAATTAAAAAACAGTTATAAAGTGACGCCTGTCATTCCATCCTCAATAATGCTACTCCGTCAGCAGCGACCGCATTGTGTAATGCTGTACAAACCAATGACTCTGTGTAAATATAAGAAAAGTGACTGGAATAAATGAATGCTGATTAGGGTTGCACATTCAGCCATACTAAACTAACATAACTAGCTATTAAAACACCATGTTTCAGTGTGCTTCAGTGATTTTGCATACAAAGCACAAACATGCTCAGCCCCCAGAATGCAGACAACTCATATTTACGTTTCAGTGTTCATTACTGAGCATACAGACCACTAAATCGATGCAAAAGGTTTCTCTGATCTCTGGCTGATTCTGTTGAGCAGCATCATTGCTAATTAACACCAATGTCATTTCAAATGTGTGGCAGAAGCAGTTTTTAAAAATTTCCACTCAAAATTTGTGTAATGTAAAACTTCCTTTAACAGTAATGTTGTATGCTCTCCTCCGTTACAAATCACTGCATCGTGTTGTGTTTTAATGACTAAACTTAACAAGTGAAATAAATACAGATAGAGAACAGCTCAATTGCCTTCTATGAATGCAGAATTTACTGTACTGTTAAACCTTGTTATTTCAGCCTGGGCTGCACATGTTCACCCCATTTCCAAATGTTCCAAATGTTAAATCTTGATAAAATGACCACTGCAGCCATTTACAGCTTGACACCACTATTTGACTATTATTTTTGAAACGATAATTAAAAACTCAGTTACATATGGACACTTGTTTGTTGCTTCTTATGAACATCCACAATGACATGATGTACTTAGTTTGATATAGATTAATATTTTCTGTGGTATGCGAGTTTGAAACCAAAAGTATCAATAGGCTGCATAGGTGTCGTTAGATCCCTTTTCCTGGGCCACGTGTGCCAGGATTGATCTGCTGTGTCGCAGTAAAATTGCACATTCGAGCTTTAACAAGATCCTACTGTATATTTGGCAGTGGATTAATTTAGACTGACAATAACAGGAAAATAAATGAGTTGTTCAAATTCAGAATGCCAAAGCAAAACGCAAGCCGAGGCGCAGCGGTCAGGGGTCAGACATCAGGGTTCGGACATCACGGCGCGCAGGTGTGTCTCCACCAGCCATCCATTGCACAATGCAATTTCAAAGTAACTGGATAATTTTATGTTTTGTGGCTTATGAGTTATAAAATATGATTAGATAGATTTTTTAAATCCATGTCGATAGACAAATTAGTTATTGTGAAATGCAGACGAATGTGCAATACAGGGCCAGACCTTTACACCATAAAAACATGTTAATATTCTTAATGTATGTTTAAATGAATGTTTTCATAAAGAGTAATATCTCTACATTTAAAACGCCCCTGGTAGGCTGTGAGTTTAGGAAATTGAAACTGTGTTGTGAAAACTGAGGTCTGTGATGCTCTAGGGTTATACTTTTATAAATGCAATCATCTTGAACAAGCTGGAGCTTTTGTAGAACTCTGTAGGTTTTATTTCTATCACATTATACAGAATACAAGTATATGAATGAATGAATGTTTCTGTGGTGCAATGCAGAACATATGATGTGGGCCTATGTGCTAAAAATGAACACCACTGCATGCAAAGTATTTTGTAATGTAAAATAATTTAGTGTAGGCCTGTGCATTTTCTACAGGTCCACAGGCGGGGAAACATAATCGTCCTACCTTAACGTTGCAGCCTCCTTATTCCCATCTCCAAACTCTGCAAAACACTGGAAATTGTTTCAAACAGCTGGTTACCACACAATCGGACATTACACAGCCAACACTGGGGACAGCTCTACACAAAGCTTATGTAGCCTAGTGGATTGGTTTTCAGTAACAGTGACGTGCATCTTACCGTCCATACTAACATATCCAAACTGATTTTCCCAGTTACTCAGTGAAGGTTGTCAGTAACAGGAGTTTATATACACCTGAGCATATTTTCCTGCAGATTGGAAGCCATTAGCTTACCAGTATCACTCAATTCTATTCACGCTGTAAAGAAGTGGAATACTCACCTACACTGGGAGTAAATGGATACATGTCCAGTGATTCTCGCTGAGGCACTTGCTGCAGCACTGGCATTTCTCAGCATGTGGCACAATCCAGGTGCCAGATCCAGATCAAATTCCTCTGTCAGCCCACACTAGAACTGTGTTGTTTTTGTCCAACTGGCAGAAAATGGAGGCTTTTGTGCAGCCATTTTCATGACCCAGGGGGCCCCACTCGTTTATCAAACTCCAGCCCAATTACCTCACAAATGCTCAGTCACATGGCAGTCTTTTTCCCCACGCCGAGTACCAGGCCAGCAAAGGGCAGCTGGATACACTACACCAGCACATACACATGAATTACAAATACCAAATACTTATGTGCAATTTTTATGCCCCTACAGTATCTCCTGCCAATCCTCACAACATTCATTTAACTGTACTGGTGCATAATGACAATATTTTGCAACTTTTCCCACAAACTTATAATACAGGTGCTGGTCATATAATTAGAATATCATCAAAAAGTTGATTTATTTCACTAATTCCATTCAAAAAGTGAAACTTGTATATTATATTCATTCATTACACACAGACTGATATATTTCAAATGTTTATTTCTTTTAATTGTGATGATTATAACTGACAACCAATGAAAACCCCAAATTCGGTATCTCAGAAAATTAGAATATTACTGAATACCAATACAAAGAAAGGATTTTTAGAAATCTTGGCCAACTGAAAAGTATGAACATGAAAAGTATGAGCATGTACAGCACTCAATACTTAGTTGGTGCTCCTTTTGCCTGAATTACTGCAGCAATGCGGCGTGGCATGGAGTCGATCAGTCTGTGGCACTGCTCAGGTGTTACGAGAGCCCAGGTTGCTCTGATAGTGGCCTTCAGCTCTTCTGCATTGTTGGGTCTGGCATATCGCATCTTCCTCTTCACAATACCCCATAGATTTTCTATGGGGTTAAGGTCAGGCGAGTTTGCTGGCCACTTAAGAACAGGGATACCATGGTCCTTAAACCAGGTACTGGTAGCTTTGGCACTGTGTGCAGGTGCCAAGTCCTGTTGGAAAATGAAATCTGCATCTCCATAAAGTTGGTCAGCAGCAGGAAGCATGAAGTGCTCTAAAACTTCCTGGTATACGGCTGCATTGACCTTGGACCTCAGAAAACACAGTGGACCAACACCAGCAGATGACATGGCACCCCAAACCATCACTGACTGTGGAAACTTTACACTGGACCTCAAGCAACGTGGATTCTGTGCCTCTCCTCTCTTCCTCCAGACTCTGGGACCCTGATTTCCAAAGGTAATGCAAAATTTACTTTCATCAGAGAACATGACTTTGGACCACTCAGCAGCAGTCCAGTCCTTTTTGTCTTTAGCCCAGGTGAGACGCTTCTGACGCTGTCTGTTGTTCAAGAGTGGCTTGACACAAGGAATGCGACAGCTGAAACCCATGTCTTTCATACGTCTGTGCGTAGTGGTTCTGGAAGCACTGACTCCAGCTGCAGTCCACTCTTTGTGAATCTCCCCCACATTTTTGAATCGGTTTTGTTTCACAATCCTCTCCAGGGTGCGGTTATCCCTTTTGCTTGTACACTTTTTTCTACCACATCTTTTCCTTCCCTTCGCCTCTCTATTAATGTGCTTGGACACAGGCCTTTGTGAACAGCCAGCCTCTTCTGCAATGACCTTTTGTGTCTTGCCCTCCTTGTGCAAGGTGTCGATGGTGGTCTTTTGGACAACTGTCATGTCAGCAGTCTTCCCCATGATTGTGTAGCCTACAGAACTAGACTGAGACACCATTTAAAGGCCTTTACAGGTGTTTTGAGACAAGGTGTTTTGATTAGAGTGTGGCACCAGGTGTCTTCAATATTGAACCTTTTCACAATATTCTAATTTTCTGAGATACCGAATTTGGGGTTTTCATTGGTTGTCAGTTATAATCATCACAATTAAAAGAAATAAACATTTGAAATATATCAGTCTGTGTGTAATGAATGGATATAATATACAAGTTTCACTTTTTGAATGGAATTAGTGAAATAAATCAACTTTTTGATGATATTCTAATTATATGACCAGCACCTGTATATAAATTGACATGTGTGTAAAATGTCACAGGCTGTGTCAGTGGAAGTTGCTGCTTCTGGACATTTGAGCTCCACTGAACTGAGACCCCTGGTGGACATGATTTGAGGTAGATACCTGAATCCTAACAGCCACATTTTCTGATAACAACCCATATCAGTGAACTGAGGATGGAGAAGAGACCAGTATATAACTACTATTGGAGTTTTATGGGGCCAAATTTATAAGAATGTTATCAACACCGCTTGTCTGGCACTCAGGTCTCTTGAAAACTACATGTAGATACAAATGGGTACCATCATCTACTTTTTAGATAGCACAGACGTATTAGACTGTGCCGTATTAGCTCAAGGACAGTTCACTGACAAACAGAACCACTCTGTCAAAAGAAAACAATAATAACACAAATTTGTGTATTTATATTTTATTCACATATGTTACATGTTGCATTAAATGTCCAAGTTACACCTTCTGGTCAAACTCAAAGTTTGAGTCAGCACCTACAGTAATGTACTGTATTCTCTCTTCATTCATTCAGGAGAACACACACAAGAGCTTTCAGTTACAATTTACACCCACTGGCTATTTGGTTGCGGTCATTTACAAAGTGGAAAAAGTTAAAATAAAGAAGAGAGGAGAAACTCAGTAAACACAAAAGCAGCATGCATGAATACAAGAGGAAGTTTTTCAAGTGTTAACTTTTTTAAAGATTCCTAAATGCAGTACAGTGTGGCCCAGCATTTCAGAACCAGACATCAGCGACATCAGCGGTGTGTTGTTTATCACTTGGAAAACATTCATCTTGTAGGCACGACTAGATAAATTTCCTCTCTTCAGATTGTGAGAAAATTAAGTAGCTAAGACACTTAAATAATGGTGGCTTAAAGGATGTCATGCACAGCGAATAACAGATACTCAAGGCTGATAATCCTGTTATGTTGGAATGCAACCATAGATCACCACTAGATGATAAATGAGTCAGGGATCGTCATCACAGTAAATGTTCTGTACTGCAGTTATGACTCAACAATCAAAAGCATGAAGGGAAAAACGTTTTTTGACAGCACAGAAAGATATTGGCATGTCATCTCACCGAGTTTCATGTCTTGAGTGTATTTTGGACAGAATCAATATCGCATTTCAGCTCTCACATGGCGCCGAGTTTAGCCAGAGCAGAGGGACATTAAATATGTGCAATGACTTTTTCGTCTTTTTAATTATGCTTCCCAAATTCTGTAGCTTTGACTTCAGGTCAGCGCTGGAGCAATGAGAGCAAATCAGTCTGGCTGCAGCTTAAGCTGTCTAACGGTTGGGGTCTTCAGAACCAACCAGAAAAAGAAGGCGCAGAGAGGGGCACAGCTACAGAAACTGTAGCAATGAGATGCATGCAGCGTAATGAGGTGACCACATACCTCCTTAAACATTAAACTGAGTTTGAGTCAACATTCCCAGCCATCTACCGTAAACTCAAAGCACAACTGTAGAAAAGAAAAAAAAAAAAAAATTCACAAAAGTTAAAATTACTTATTTGAACAATGAGCAGCAGCATTTATTTAAATATCTAAAACTTATTTTAAACAGCAAAAAACAAAAATAATTTCCTGAGGATGGATTGCAACTAGACCCATAAAAGGAGCCTTTGCTCGTTTGCAAACAGACTCGTGTATTGATGGGTGACTTGTCCTGCCTACCACCGCACGTCAACAGACAACGAGTGCACATTGCAATAACACCGCTACACTCATCAGGAGCTTGAAACTCATGCCAGCACAGCAGAGCACAGTTTGATAAATGAAGGGGATAAGTATAAACATCAGAAATGGTGCAAAAAGTAATCAAACTTTGCAGGGACATTTAGCACTTGATAATAGAATTTTCAACCCAAATAAATATGAGCGGCTTCAAAAGCACGTTCAAAACCAATTGAATTTCTGGGCAGAGTTGTGCTTTTTTTTTAAAACTTTGATCTTACTCAATTCTGTTTTTCCCTGTTGAAAACCACACGATAAATCACACACACACACACACACACACGTGTTAATCTTTAGGCGTGATTGTACACCAAACTTCACATAAACCAAGGCTGTGGCAGCAAAAACCCTTGTTGGGTGTTTGTGTTTATCACGTTGAGAATTCCCAAATATTTTGATCGCAGCAGACACACAACCCTAGAAAAAAATAATAATCCTCTCTGTCACGGGCTGCTGATTTCAGTGGACGTGGAAGATCTTTAGAGTCCATTATAGTGAGGCCCCCAACGCTTATTGATGTGATCAAAGGTGTGTGAAACCCACTGTTGCTCCAACACTCGATACCTCTCGTCACATAAGAAGAGAGGTTTGCCACGGCTGGAGGAAGGCCAGAGGGGAAAACAAGAGTGAGAGATGGGAAAAAAAATACTGTCACAAACTCACACAACTTACTAAGATTCAGTGACGTGCGGTGAGGTGAGGTTGACAGCTGGTGAGGCACTCACTCTTTTACAGTCAGATTTACAAATACAAATTGTCTGTTAACAGACAGTGCGTTATGTTTTATATCTCATATCAGCATTCTTCACACAAACGTGACCCATATTTAATTTGAGGTTAAAATTTATTCCAATTGAGCTTATTTCTAACTAGAAATAATAAAAGTTTATGGTCTTACCTTTACTTGTACACGCAATCCATTTGTCAGCTGGTATGTATTACAAACCCTTTTACCGTTCGAATCCAATATTAAAACAAATGTTTTCAATAAAGAAGATGCTTCTGGACAAAAATGTCCAGACTGTCTAAAATGTTTTCATTCAAAGTCCAGATTTGTGAATTTTCACATCTTGGAAATGTAATCTTCCATTTTGATAAGGCGGATTGTAAAGGAAATATAAACAAGCACGAAGAAGATTGAAGGTAGCGCAAGAATCTGTGGGCTCACTAGCGCCCTCTGCAGAGGACCTCTATTTGCGACATATAGACGGAAGCAGGCGTACTGTTTGCCTCACCGAGTAACTTTTTTACTGGGTTTTATGGTTAATCTGCAGCCTAAACACGTTACACAACTACATTTTATACATTGTCCAGATTATGGCAAGGCAGAGCATATAATCAGAGTGTTTGAAAGCATTTTATTTGCGATATATAGAGGGACAGCGACACACTATTTGCATCGCATACAGGTTGTGAGGATTACACGATCCACCGAGAGGCACAGCAAAGTGCTGCCTCATCGCGCATCTCCTCCATGTATTTGAACGGGACATACGGAAATTCTGCTATTTTTTATTGAAAAAAAATCATTCAACATCAGATTCGAACGGCAAAAGGGCCTACAACACACACCAGCAGACAAATATTAACATTTATTATATTTTATGGTTAACTTTTTTTTCTTTTCAAGATTGACAGGGGAGGCTCTGCCTCACCTGCCTCCCCTGACCGCACGTCACTGCTAAGATTTGGAGCATGCTGTGTGTTTGTCCTTGAAAACTGTAAATGTACGTCAGTATGCAAACTTAAAAATAACATTATCTAACAAAGCAACTGCAGAGCTTTGCTAAACTGAGAAATTAAAACAAATTCTGCAATTTTAATTTGTTTTGTGAAGTTTGAGAGTGACATTCCAAAATTCTGTTTGAAATCTCTTCACTCATATTTTACATCATTTTGCAGACCAAAAACTGTTAAAGAAATTTAAATCTTTTAAGCTGTCGGCAAAAACAGAATGCTAGAACACTTAGCACAGGACACAGCAGAGGATTATTCAAATATTTTAACTTAATAACATAACTGTGTGTGATGTTTCATACCGTAAATCGCGGTCCTCCTCTCCATGAGCATCAAGGTAAACAGAACCCCACAGGCAGAAACGATGTCCCCGGATGATGATTATGACTGAGGCATTTATCAGCAGAAAGATGCCTGTAGCTGCACCACAATGTTGGGAGTGCTGCAAGCGACAGGCAACAAATAATCACGGAAAATTGACGGTAACACTGTCAACTGGCTACAATCAGTGTGTGGAAAATCGTGAATTTTGTTAACAACTACATACTCAGTTGCTTTTTAAATTATTAGAAGAACATTGTTGTTCTTTAAGGCAGAGAAACTTACCAAAACACATTCACAGATACCCTGCTGTTTGCAGCATACACCTTTGAGACAGACAAAGGCACCACAAACAAGGCAGAGTGCAGGGTCTTTTGGCACCTTTTTGCAGGCAGTGCACGCCTTCCTGTGATAGTACTGGAAGATGATATTGTAGTTGTCAGGCAGCTGGAGAAGGCGAGGAGCTGCCCACTGAGGATCCTGGACAAGCAAGGTCTTCAAGGGGAAGACAGACAGGTATTGAAAGTATACAGCTGTGCTACGAACCAGTCGTTAATACATTTTGGCCCTTCCCTGCTTTTCCCTCAGACTCTTGATCACCAACTATGAAAAAACTATGGCTACAAATAACATTTCTGAAACCCCGAGATATGCAATTGAGAGTGCTTCCCTGTTTTTAATGTTTTAAAACAGGTGTCTCTTGACTGCAAACAGATGAGCAGCCATATACAGTAGAAGTTGTCTCATCTCTCCATATTTACAAATCTCAATCAAGTGAGATTTTATATATTTTATATGTCTTTTGCACACATCACAGCTAATAAGGCTTCAAATACTGCTAAGGCAAGACAATGACACTTACCAAAAACAGTAACACACAACAAAAAATTCAAAACATACTGTGTGAATATTTCTTTGCTCAGAACAAATCAAGAATAAAATCCAGTGACCTCTCTAGGAATTTCAAATGAAAATACATAGCATAGTCATTTCTTAAGAAGCCGAGATGTTTTATAATTGTCTATAGTTCATATATTGACAAAATTCACATACCAAGGATTGCTCAGCCTGCATCTGAGAGAGCCCTGTGACCTCAGCACACCACTGTGTCACCAAGTCGAAGGCGTTGACTGCCCACTCCAGACACGAGGCACTGTGCACGCTGCTGGAAGGCTGAGGGGCCGAGGGTAAGAGCCCCAGACACACAGCCAAGGATGAGAACTCCTCTTCCTCCTAAGGAAAGCAAGAAAACAAAAGCACTGAACTCACCAGCTGTTTTCTGACACCTATGATCCTCAGGATTTCAAATGATCTAAACTCATGTCTAGGTAAGTGCCAAAACGTTTCATGTTTCTTGCATTGAGACAGTAATCAAAAAGGATCACAAGTAATGAAAAACATTGCGTGCGATGTGACTCATGCCACAGAGACACTGCATACTGTAGGGCAGTTTAAACAGGTAGGACATAACATACCACGCAACCAGTTAGGTTGTCTCCATAGAAGTGATGCTGCAGGAGGCAGGAGAGGCGAAGGAAGGGCAGGCAGAACTGCTGGAGGCTGAACTCGATAGACTGTGGGGACCACACAGCGGAGCTCAGCTGGAGAGCGAAACGACAGTAACAGTTGATCAATAAACGGCCGACCGCTCGCTGATAATACCGTGATTTATATCTCTCCTGGAGATTAGCAGAGATATCTGACAACTGCATCTCAGGGTTAACGGCCAATTCATAGTTTAAAAGAAAAAGAAAAGTATAGAATGAGAGCATCCTTCTGAAAGCAACAAGTGCTAAACAGTCGTTTTAGCATCTCACCACTGATGTTTCTTCAGCAGTCACCATGTAGACACTCTTGTCCTTAGAGAGCTCACCGATGACATGACTGAGCAGTGCTTCAAAGGACCTCTCAGCATTTGCAGCATTCTGTGGCAGAAAATCAAAACGTTAAAAACATGTTAGCAAACAATAAATGGCCACATTTTCCCTGAAATCTCTCTATAATCCTTGCTGTAGGAGAACAGATGTGAGTTTTGATCAGTTTATTTTCACTTTGAGCTGACTTGAGAGAACATTCAACTTAAGCATTTTTGGTTGGCAATAAAAAAAAAAAAAAACAAGTTTCTATATTTGTGCAGTCCCTCCCAACACTCATCTACATTTGTCCTAAAAAGCCATCTACTGTCACTATCACCTAGGACAGAAGGCATTCATATGAACTCCAGCAAATAAAGCCATCACAAAAGTGAAGCTTCAACAGTATGAATTGGCAAAATCAATATGCATTTCTGTCCTGGAAGCCTGTATGTACATAGATTTGTTTACTAGAAACTAACAATTAATAGTCTAAGTGATAAATAAGACCTAACACAAAAAATATCTGCATCTATTGTTGCTCCACTCATTAATTCAGGTCTTCTTTAGCTTGCCACCTAAGTGAATTACTTCAATGATGGATACCGGCTTCTAAAGGATAACTTAGTTTTTTTATTTGCTTTAATCCAACTAAAAATGAGTATGGGGACTCTATAGCTAGTGCTAATTTTGCTATTGGTAATCGAAATGTTGCGTTAAACAGCGTCACCGGGACAAATCAGTTAACCTCTGAGTGTCAGTCAAATTATTTTTCATGCTCATCTCAGAGTCAGAAGGAAAGCAAGTACGACATATAGGCATCTGGTGTAGCCATTACAGCCGAACAGGATGATCATCCGGTCATCAGGTCAACTGCAAGTTAACTCAGATGTATAATCCTATGCGGTTTGTTGTATTGATGTTTATTCTGAGCACTTTTGGAGCAGTAGTGACAGCAAAATTAACACTAGCTATAGAATCACCATACCCAATTTCAGGGAAAAAAAACAGCAGGTAAAAAATAAACAGAAAAACAAACAAACAAACAAACAAAAAAAAGAGTTATCCTTTAAGGGAATCTAAAAATCCTCAACCAATTTTAACTGCCACTGTATCCTCAATGTGTTGTCAGGCAACATAACAGAATGTATAATGCTTCACCTTAGTGCTGTCCTAGTCCTCGTGTGTATAAAATGTACTGTAGAATATAATGACTTATGCAGACTAAGCAATAATTCTTTCATTACAATATAACATCTGATAAGTGGTAGAGACATTACTGAATGTGTGTTCTGATAAAATTCCACTGGTTTGGCTAGTATTTTATACAGAGGAAAAGCTGCAGGCATTTATCAAGCTGAAGGTGGTAGAATATAAAACAGCAGTCTTATCTTGTCTGCTGTCTTTTGTCATAGATTTATAGAGGAGGAATTTCAAGTCCATGGATTTCTTTCCTCTAGCCTCTGATCTTTGTTCAGAATGCATCTTTTTTAACAACTACAATTTAATTGCAATTGCGTACTATCGAATATGGATGCCGTTCTCACTGTGGAGTTCAAATCCATCTTAATGGCAGCTTGGGAACGTGTGCACTACTGTTTATGACAGTGTAGTAGAAAGATACTACTGCATACCTCCATTATGGATGGAAACACCCTAAAGGGGAGGGTTTCAACTATTTGTCTTTTGACATTCAAGCCAGCCACTCACTTATACAGACTTAATAGACTGAAGACAGACAGCCAATTAATGCAACACTGCAGCACTCACACTTTTCCAGATAATGAAGATCGATACCATCAACTGTGGAAAGCACGTAAATGAAATCGGAAGGGACTTAATTCATCTCAGTGCTAAGTCATACACAAAAGTACGCTGTGGTTGTGGACTTAGCTATGATTCTGGAGAATAATCTGAAGAAAAGACAAGTTCAACAAACAGTGGATACAAGTACACTTAACCTGCACTGAGAGCATAAGATACTGATGCCTCTCCATACAAAACTATCCTGGCAGTTCTTAAAGGTTTTATGCCGTTGTAGGGCCGGGCCATTGTATTTACACTGAGTGTCTTTTGGTGACCAGTTTCTATTTAAGGTACCCTGTAGAGTTTTTGACCTGTAGTGGTGCTGTGGAGTGGGTGGTGATTTGATAAACAGTCCATCCAGATGTTACAAACTATTCCACTGCCTGACAAGTGGTGGTAATACAGCAATGTGTCAACAAAGGAAGAGGATCATATCAGATAGTAAACATATAAACAATGCAGCGTTATAGAAACTCAGGCTATGTCAGTGAAGTCTGTGAACACTGCAGAGTAGAAGAAAAGAGAAAAACTAGAAAATGTAAAGGCAGGTAAAATTAGCACAAGCATATCACAATGAATCAGGTCTCAGGCTACTGTAATGTGTTTTCACCTTTGCCTTCATGAGTGCGCCAGATGTGCTCCAGGCCTGCCTTTCCTCTGGGCTGAACTTGGTGGACAGTGCAGCCAGAGCCTGGCTGAACTGCAGGTTGTACAGCATCTTCACCACACAGGTAAAGTGCTCTATACAGGGAGAGATGGCGACACGGTGAGCACATTTTACTCTGAATTAACAAAAGATCCCTCTAGTAACAAAAAGATACCAGTTGAAGGAGACTGACAGATATTCACAGAGGCGTTGTATTTGGTTCCTCAGTTCTGCATCGAGAGCCTAACTGAACCACGTGAAGGATAATTTGCAGAATGTTTCTGATGGAAAATGCAGTTTGAAGAGTATTTAAAAGAACAACAAAGAGGTTCATTTGTTAAAAAAAGAAATAGAAAAAAAGATGGCACCCATTTGTAACCATCAGGTGAAAAGGAACTCCCATGGACTGACCACGCCTTACGCCTGTACTAATAAATAATATCAATTGTGTTACAAGTATTAATTTACTGCTTTGTTTGTTTAATCACAAATATTACACAGCCTGTATAAAGCACCATAACCTTCAGAAGAAAATCTGACCAAACTAATAATCCATATTTAAAAAATGATTTATGAAAGCATAAACAATGTCTAATTAAAATGTTAATCAAAGGCTAATATTTCTAATAAATCTGCCTTTATCATGCTCCAAAAGTGCTAATTGTCCCAGTCAGTGGTCAACCTAACCCCGTCATCAATAAGATGATCTGCCTGCTGTGACACTTCTCCCATTAAACATGACTACAGCGTGCTGGGCCAGATGCTCAGGTGGCCCCTCCATCACCAGGGTCTTGCCTCCCTGATCCTCACAGTCAAATGACAGCAACAGGAGCACAGATAAGAGACATAAAATGCTTCTTTCCTATACTCAGCCCTGATTATGACTGATAATGGGGCTGTCCTCGTAGAGCGGCCGCTGAGAGACTCCCTGTTCTCCTGTAGCGTCATGATGCATACATAGGAAATGTACCTTTTCTCAGAGGCTGTGGCATCATTAGTACAAAGATAATCAGGAGAGATGGGACATCTCGAAACAGCATGGGTACCTCGGGTCTCTCTTCATCAAACGTACTGCAAAATAAGCAAAAGGTACATTACTATTACAAGTAACAACAGCAAGGAATGTAAAGACCAAAGCAACACATGATTAAACCTGCACTGAAAAAAAAAAATTCAAATGTCTTCTTCTGTTTCTTAACAGCCATCATTTTAACAGGCAGCTAAAGTTAGCGATGTTACGTACGATGTTTGAAAAGGGTAAAAAAACAAACAAACAAACAAACAAAAAAAAACAACAAACAAACAAAAAAAAAAAAAACAGGAGTGAGAGCAAAGGTTGCACTGTCTATTTATTTTTAAATTAGCTTAAATACATGGCATTAAAAAGGTCCATTCCTTGTATTCCCATTCCAACTTCATTAATGTAGCCCTAGTTACATATTATGTGCCATCTCTTGACAGTCCAGTGAGGCTCCAATCTCCACTCTACTCTTGAAAGGCCTCAGGGAGGACGAATGGAAGGAACTGCACTTAAAGAATAATACCTTTCATCACCAAAGCACTCACCAGTTAATTCCACCATGCATCTATGGAAAGCCTTAGAGGACAGAGCTTTCATCCCTGCTAATACCACTGCATACAAGCTATACCTGCACACTGTAAAATCTCCAAGCATCCCTTGGTTTATCTAATGAAAAAAAGGGCAGAACAATGTTTTGCATCTATGTACATCTGTCCTATTTAACTAGGCTAGAACAGGTTGACTGCCTAAGGGTGTCAATGACAGTGCGCCCTCCTGAAACCCTGATTAAGTATTTTTAAACACCAAATGGCTCCCTTGAGAGTCCTGTATGGCTGTGACCACTTTAATACTAACAGGTGTAAAAGCTGTCTTACAACACTAACAGGGAGGAAAGGTTGTTAAAGGTCATTTTGTGTTGTTAAGTGCTGCAAAAATATCTGACAATGAAATCCATTTGTGCATAAAACAGCATGTTCTGACAGAGTAGTACTTGAGAAGAGAAAAAGACAGCAGGTGTGAGGTGGAGACTTTTGTATTTTGTTAAATTCAAGTTTGAAGCTAGGTGGACAGCTGGGAGCTGAGATGTGGTGCTGGTGTGGTGCAGTTGTGCTCAGTATAGTGGATCTGACAGGGTCATTTTGCTCTCTGTGGAGTGCCCAATGATTTGCCAGATGCAGCAATTATTGGTATCTATGGAAACCACACATGGTCCCTTTTCTGTTTTTAGCTCCTCTTTGTGTAGAGAACAAGCTGGGAGGAGGAAATGGTGGTGTTTAAAGGGAGGACAAAGAGGTGCTTTGATTGCATGTTTATGTGAGGGAAAGTAGAGGTTGAGAGGTATGCGAGGTGCATGAACAGATTTATAGATTCACTGTTAGCAGAGGTACTTAAGAGTAAAAGTCACTCACTCTGCCTCTCTGCTTTGTGTAATCTGAGTCAGCTTAGTCCAGGGGTTGTAGGCTGAATCAATACTGTACAGACGCATGTGCATGGCCAACACATGAAACAGCTGATCTGAAAGAAGGAATAACAAAACACACCACTGTTATATTTTAAAGAGCTCTGACAGGAAGAAAACCAGCGAGTCTGAGCTTATCTCAGTGCCCCTCGTCACATTCCACCAGCAAACAGCAAATGATGAAAGCAGCTGACATTAAATGAGTGCAGGCTAATGGTCTGGCTCAGATAAAACCAGGCCAGGCCAGATGGATACATGGCAGTGTTTGAAAGCCTCGAGGAAGTATTTGGTCAGGTCACACCTGTTCATTGTGAAACTAATGGAACATGAAGACAGAGCCCCTGTGGACACACAGTCTCTTATGTATACACTAGCTTTTAATAGCAGGACAGGGCACAGCCTCTAAAGCCTTTGTCTAGAGTAAACCTTTTACAAAAAGTCGTGACATTACAGCTTGAGTCAACACTAGCAAAACGCAACGTGCCTCGTTTTAGATATTAAGATATTCCAATGTGAAAAAATGTCCTCGTCTCTGTAACAGTCCAGAAATAATGTAATCTACCTATCCTGATTATGAATTAAAAGTTTTCTTAGAAGTTAGAAATTAATACTGCACAAGAGCAAAAGAAATAAACATATAAACCATATTGAAACCAGTGGCACCAACACATTAAGTTCCATTTAGTTTCATCATTAGGTGAATGCAACAACTTTCTGTATTACCTAAAGTTTAACTGTAGTTTACAAAACTGATCCAACTGGATTTTGTTTTGTAGGGACGTATGATGCTGTAATGCAGCAATGTGCTTCAAATAATCAGCTCTGCAATTTGGTCAATACTTAGAGCAACACTGCCCTCCATAGGAAAACATGGGCACAGCATTAAGAAAACAGTCCACGGTTGAATGCCGTGTGTTTTTGCTACAGTTTATTTCCTCTGGGAGAAATGCAAATGAAAAACAGAGGAGGTAAATAAAATCATGGCCTTTGCTTCCTGCTACTCCCATAAAATTTCTATATGTATAGCAAATGTAAAAAGGCTTATTACAAGCATCAGGTCCAATATCTGATCACAGGTGTCTGTCATATCAATTCACCTGAAAGTGAAACAACCCGTTTTCTTGTATGATCAGTTTAGCTGGGAGGCACATCTTGTATGGCATGTGAAAATACTCCGTAAGGAGTTCAGTAGTACAAATCTAACAATAAAGCTCATTATTAGGCTTCATACACCACTGAGACACAGGGGGTACAAAGGGGAAGAGGAGACAAACAAAACAGGAAGCATTTCTGGTTTAATGGGGTGTGTCCAGAGATGTCTGAAAAAGCCAGTAGCCAATGGCTGTGCTGGGAACTACTTGCCTGGTTTCTGAAAGCCAACACTACTAATTATTCAGATTCACCTGGCTGAACAGCCTGCACATGAAGGCATCCATCGCTTTGGTTTAATTTATTAATCAGTTTCCTGTCCTAACTAATGATGAGCAGGATCGACTCCTTTTTTCCTCACAGTTGGGGTTATAGACTTTAAAAACTGTTGTCCCTTTGATTTTCTCATATGACCAACATCTTCAGTCAGTTCACAAACACTTTGTTTCCCATGTACTATCTAATAAACAGCCCATTTTCACAGCAGACATTTTCATGGTTATCTTGTTGCATACCCACTTTTCATGTCAGGTATTTGACAATTACTTCTTTCTTCTCAGTGCATATGATAATACAGTGGTCTAAAGTATGTTCACACCAGCCAAACAACCCGAATACAGCTGTCAACATTCTCCTACCAGTCAATTACTTCAAATCTGCACAACTGAGGTCAATAGGATTTGCCTTTAAAATTCCTGTGCAGTGGCAGCCACATATTTGCAGTTAAATAAACCATGCTATTTCAGGGCTTGATCAATTTAGCCCATTTCAAGAGAACTGCAGGCAGTTGGTCTCTCTCTGGTCCATGGTATCCTCATGAATGGGACAGAAGACATGCCCACTGGGAAACATGCTTAAGGAACCCTATTTGCTCTCAAGGTTAGCACACGTCTGCCATTTCCCTAAGAAGAACAAACACTAATGTACTGCAACTGAGTAAATTTGGCTGTCAGCATGGCTACATGGGTAATGTAGCTCAAAAATAACAAACCTCCTGTGTGAAATCTCTTTTCAGTCACTCAAGGATGACAGGCCATTTCAATGCAGCACTCACAACTTTGACAGAATAATTAAACACAAAGAAGAAAGGGGTGTAGTCTGTGTGACAAGCATCACTCTGACACCTTCAAATATATACACTTTCTCTTGCAATATCCATCCTTCATCTACATATATTTTTATAATTGACAATTAAAACTGTAGACCTATCAGTAATGAACACTATGAATTTTAATGGGTAATGTTAAATTTTTTTTAAAACAGTTTCAGCTGAGAATAGGTTTCCATGTTCTCCTAGACACATGCAACGTCTGCTGTGACATGAGCAACTAAAAGAGCACTTGACCCATTTGTCTGCCTCAATTACCCCGACTGCTCCCAGCAGCTCATCGGGGACAGCATCAGTCCGTGCCTCCCACTGTTACCAGACCCTTGGCTTTTATCTTTTTTCTTCTTTTAATGGTTCATTGTTGAGCTCAAGTCAGACACCTTATTACACAGAGGTTGATGGGAAATGAAGTGACCTGACTTAACACTTAGTCTAATTACCATTTCAAATAGAAGAGCAAAATATATCTGACATCACATCACACAAAACACTACTGTTTAAAAAAAATTAAGTACATGATTACACATGGTTTAGCTTGTATTATTATTGCAGACAAGACAAGAATATTGTTGGAAAAGGGGAACTGGTCACTTCTCAGCTAAATACATTTCTATCATTTAGAGATAGACAACTACACATACCCACAATCGCTCCTAAAGAAAAATTTAAAGTCCCCAGTCACCCTAACCACTATATACTATACTATACACACCTATAGGCAATTCCAGCTGACCTAAAATATCAAACTGACCACATTGTATATTAGATGGAAATGATTTAAAAGGTAAGAAGGTCTGGGAGTAAGTACTTACTGAGACATGAGCGTCTGGCAGCTGCACTGGCTCCTCCAGAACACAAGTTTCCTCCTCGGTGCACAAGTTCCAACTCCAGGTTGGTCCTGAGGAAAAGTATTCAGACCCTTAATTCAGTACTTAGTAGTTTTGAGTCTTCCTCAATTCTCACCAGTCTCCCTACCCCCGCTGCAACTGCATTAACCTGTAGAAAAGGTGCTATACAGATGTTTGATTGATTGGTGTGTCTCTCTGCAATTTACTGTTAAGGCAAAAATAAATGACAAAAAAATAAAAAAAAACATTTTTACTTTGCCATAATGGAAAGTTTATTATGGTTAAAGTCAGTGTTTTTCCTGACTGAGCTGAATATTCCAACTTTCCACCCCTTATTAACTTCAATACAATTTAGTTATATTACATTTCCTGCCTAGCTGATAGATAATTGGCTAATGACTACAAGAGATTTTGTATTTCCATAAAATCATATACAGTATGCAAAATCCTCTAAAGTACCACTGTGCTTGCTGCAGTTCTGGTTTGACTTGTACACTACGCCCCTGGTAGTGCAGTGCGACTGTAAAGACCTTGAGGCAGATTTGTGAAATTGGGCTATATACAGTGGGTATGGAAAGTATTCAGACCCCTTAAATTTTTCACTCTTTGTTATATTGCAGCCATATGCTAAAATCATTTAAGTTCATTTTTTTCCTCATTAATGTACACACAGCACCCCATATTGACAGAAAAACACAGAATTTTTGACATTTTTGCAGATTTATTAAAAAAGAAAAACTGAAATATCACATGGTCATAAGTATTCAGACCCTTTGCTGTGACACTCATATATTTAACTTAGGTGCTGTCCATTTCTTCTGATCATCCCTGAGATGGTTCTACACCTTCATTTGAGTCCAGCTGTGTTTGATTATACTGATTGGACGTGATTAGGAAAGCCACACACCTGTCTATATAAGACCCTACAGCTCACAGTGCATGTCAGAGCAAATGACAATCATGAGGTCACAGGAACTGCCTGAAGAGCTCAGAGACAGAATTGTGGCAAGGCACAGATCTGGCCATGGTTACAAACAAAATTTCTGCTGCACTTAAGGTTCCTAAGAGCACAGTGGCCTCCATAATCCTTCAATGGAAGACGTTTGGGACGACCAGAACCCTTCCTAGAGCTGGCCGTCCGGCCAAACTGAGCTATCGGGGGAGAAGAGCCTTGGTGAGAGAGGTACAGAAGAACCCCAAGATGACTGTGGCTGAGCTCCAGAGATGCAGTCGGGAGATGGGAGAAAGTTGTAGAAAGTCAACCATCACTGCAGCCCTCCACCAGTCGGGGCTTTATGGCAGAGTGGCCCGACGGAAGCCTCTCCTCAGTGCAAGACACATGAAAGCCTGCATGGAGTTTGCTAAAAAACACCTGAAGGACTCCAAGATGGTGAGAAATAAGATTCTCTGGTCTGATGAGACCAAGATAGAACTTTTTGGCCTTAATTCTAAGCGGTATGTGTGGAGAAAACCAGGCACTGCTCATCACCTGTCCAATATAGTCCCAACAGTGAAGCATGGTGGTGGCAGCATCATGCTATGGGGGTGTTTTTCAGCTGCAGGGACAGGACGACTGGTTGCAATCGAGGGAAGGATGATGACAGGGATGAGTACAGGGATATCCTGGATGAAAACCTTCTCCAGAGTGCTCAGGACCTCAGACTGGGCACTCGCTTCTGTAGATGTCCTGTTGCATACTTCAGATGTTGGATTTTATGATGGGGACGCAGATAAGGTTTTCTTCTGCTGACTCTTCCATGAAGGCCTTGTCTGTGCAAGCATCGCTGCACAGTGGAACGGTGCACCACCACTCCTGAGTCTGCTAAATCTTCCTGCAGGTTTTTTGCAGTCAAATGGGGGTTTTGATTTGTCTTTCTGACCAGCATACGAGCAGTTCTGTCCGAGAGTTTTCTTGGTCTTCCAGATCTCATCTTGACCTCCACAGTTCCCCTGATCTGCCATCTCTTAATTACATTTCTTACTGTGGAAACTGCAAGCTGACAACGCTTTGCTATCTTCTTGTAGCCTTCTCCTGCATTGTGGGCGTCAATAACTTTCATTTTCAGGGTCTTACACAGCTGCTTAGAGGAACCCATGGTTGCTGGGTGTCCACAAGTGTGTGCACAAGGTTTGAAGAGTCAAAGTATTTGTACAGCTTTGAAATTGGCATTTACCAATGACAGCTGTTGCTGTGCATCAGATCTAACGAGCTGATTAAGGTCTGATACCTTGTGAGAGACTTTGAGACTCTGGAACTCTTAGGGTGCCCAAACTTTTGCACCATGCCATAATAATGTTTTTATTTTTTATTTTTGTTCAATTTATGGCATAAGAAGTAACTATGCATCACTGTTTGCTGAAAATATTGTGCATTTTTTCCATTTCCAAGAGAAACTGTGTTAACATCTGTTCAAATAAAAAATCACCAAAATCTGTTATTTATCAAGGGGTGCCTAAACTTTTGCATAAGACTGTAACTTGACTTGAACTCTGAAGGCAACTATGAACATAAAGGTTCTTTGTCATGTATTGCAGGCTACATGGGGCAAATCAGAGACATAAAAATGGTCAATTTTGGGTAAAGTACTCCTTTAAAACCAGCCATTAAAGCAAGGTGTGTGTCTGAGTCAGAAGAAGTGGTGTAAGAGGTTGAGTATCATTATATTCAGCTTCTGGTCATGTAGCTTGCTTCTTTTACCAGTTTGATTAGGAAGGTGAAACATGCTGCCAAGTCAAGCCATTTGCCATTTAATGTGCCCGTTTTGCAGCAGCAATTCCGTATCAAATAAATGACAGCTCTCCAAGACAGATTTAGCAAAAGCTGGACCATTAGCATAAAAGCTGCCCTAACCACAGCTCATGCATAATTCCCAATGTGCATTTCCCATACATATCCAAACACATTATACTGCTGAATTATAATTTCCCAATACCAGAATAGTAAAAAAAAATACACTTGAATCTTTAACAAACTACATAGATGATGAACACAGATAGGCATTACTAAAATAAAAACTGAAATTGGCCGGTATTCATCCCGCCACTGGCCATTTATTTCTATGGGCTAGGAAGGTGGGGGCAAATCCTTGGGTTTCCTGGGAGAAAAAGCAATTTCACATAGATAATGTAGCCACGGTGAAGCTCCATCTGGCTTTTGCTGATAAGAGCGCCCCTGTGACATAGGAATTTTCCACTCCTCAGGCAATTTGAGCTGTTCATTGAACTTCAGAGAGCCAACAGGCACCCAGACACACTCAGGAGATTTTTCTGTTCAGGGTGGAGGGCCAAGGGAAACGCAGCACTGGGTGGGCAAAAGGTCTGGATGGTTACACTCTAGGAAGAGTTGGGTTTTTGAAATGAGAGTGGTGTTGAGTAAGAGACCCCAAGGTCACCTGGTAGCCTGTTATTTCTCTTAGCTGTGACCAATCTGTTGAGAAGATACAAATATCTGAAAGAGGACTGTGAAATCCCCCTGGCCTATTTGACCAGAGTGTGATTGATTAAGATTCCTGTCCAAACCAAACTGGGATATTACAGTTGCAGTGCATGTCTCACAGACTGCTAGTTTACTCCAAAATGTCCCAGATCTATGTAATGCAAAGAAACATTTGTGAATGAGCCATCAGCAGCATATTTTCTAGGATGATACAGCAGCATAATGAAAAATATGAAGAGAACAAATCAAACACCCCTTCACCGTTCCCTGAACAACTCTGGATAAATGCAAAACACTAACATATTTGTGCAAGTACTATGCAACTACAACAGTATTGAATTTCAGTTACATTTTAAGGAGTCTTTCAACAATCAGTGGCGCATGCATGTGTGTGTCGGCAGCACTTGGAATGTGGAGTCTCTCTCTCTCTCTCTCTCTCTCTCTCAAAGGACAACAGCTACAAAATCACTTAGAGGTAACCCAGTACAGAAGAGTCATTGCTCATAACTTGGACAACAGATGCGCACACACACACACACACTAACTTCTGAGGTTGTATTTTGTAAAAATGTTAGAAAAGGAGCAGGACAAAGCAATGGTTCCGATTATTCAACAAGGTGCATGAACATTCTTTTTTAATCTCACTTTGTGTTTTAAAGGCTGCTCAACAATCAATATCCAAGGACACCAAATCATATGTACACACTTGTGTTTGATCATTTCTTTTATCAATCCCATCCATCAATTTCCAGCCACTTATCCAGGTCTTTTCCAGTAGACTACCACGGCCTCAGATACTGAGGTAATGATTCTCACCTCAATTGCAGTCTGCCCATGAGTTAGAGGTTCAATCAGGAAGAATTACATGAGAACACCACTTCTCAGATGTGCTTGGGGATTGTGTCCATGAAAATTACAAGAGAAAGAAAAAAAAAACTGCAACAAAGCACAATCCAGGGCCAAAAGGATGGGCGTCCTCACAAAACTAAAGAGTCATTTCACTAATTGCATCCATGTTTCCCTCACATGAGTCTTTTCCTTGTGTCTCAATCCCGCCCTTATAAGATGACATTTTAACTAACATAAGATGTCCTTTCCTCTGATCCCTCATGTAAAGCTTTGATCAGTTTTATTTATATAGCCCAACATCACTCATCAATATTTTCCTCAAGGAGCCTGACAATCTGTACAGCATACGACACCCTCTGTCCTTAGATCCTCAAACTGAATAAGTAGGACAGACAGACATGCATTAGATGTCATGCTCAGGAAAGTTCTATTAGCCTAGTGCCTTCTAAACAGTCCGACTCTGCTCTTACCTTGCCACAGAGTACATGAAGAGGAAATCGTTGTCAGGGGATCCAGGGTTCTTGCCGTAGTCCATGTATTTTTTCTGGGTGGTGTTCTTGATGTCTTTGATAACCAACTCCATCTCTTTGGTCAGGTTGGACTCCGTCTTTGAAAAAATAAGAACAAAACGATGTCAAAACCTTTAATCAAGCAGACTCACTAATTGACATTAGGCACGTTTTACGCCGGATGCCCTTCCTGACGCAACCCTATTTCATAGTCATTTTTTATCTTCATTGAAATTTCCTTTTCTATCCCCCTCCACAAGCACTCTGGGATAGATGAAGCAATTTTATAGCACAAATAGTTAACCCTTTTCCCACATAATTCTTCTACTGCAGCACAAAGTTGCCCAAAGTATTGACAAGCCATCTCAATTCAAACTTCTGACTTCCAAATTGGGAAGAGGAATTCTACATACACTCAAAAGGTACACTGTTAACCTTTTTAATTTGTTACCAGAATGTGTTTTAAAGTGCTGTGAGAAACGGGCATGTCAACTTAAAGATGCACAATCTTCTGCCATGCTGAGCATGTAGGTGTTTGTTCCAATTTCAAGTCTAAAAACCTACTGCTCTAGCACTAAAAACAAATTTGAACTCATCTTGCAGACCTTCTGTTAAAAGGCCAACCCAGTAATTTTGCTACAAAGTATGCAGTTAATAATTTCCAGTCAATACCAAGCAGTATGAAAACTAACTTAAGAGTTATATTATAATTGGAGCAGCCTGATAACTGAGTGGTTACAGTGCGTGTCATGTGTTCACACTGTCCGCAGGTTGAGTTCTCTCTATCTTCCCATGTTTTCGCTTTGTCTCTCCACTACAAACTGTGAAATAAAGGCAGAAACACTTCCAGAAATTAAAATTATCAAAAATCTTTACATTGCCTAGCACCAATAGTTACTCTCTACACACACACACACACACACACACACACACACACACACACACAAAAACTCAGATTACTTACTAATACTAAAACAAGCTGTGATCAATAGTTATTAGACCAAGTATATGTAGTGATTTGAACTAATTTAAATAAAACAGGCATAAACAGTGGTGTGATCCTTTGTCGTTCCAGTTTTTAAAGATTTGGATAAGTCTGTCGTTTTATATACACACACACAAAAACAAACACATACACACACAAAAGAATCTGATAAACACTGACACTTCACCAGTGGCAGGTGCTTGATGAAACAGTTTGTTTCTGAATTCTCATGTAGAAGAACAGAGACGGGAAAATAAATCACCCCGCTTTCATCTGCACCAAACGTCAACACCCCCTATGATTAGATGCAAGCTGATTTTTTTTTTTGTACCAATTATAATTACCACCAGCCACTAATGAGATGACAGGTGTTTAAAGCACAGCTGTGTAAAACATGCAGAATGCTTTTCATGATACACTCCTGGCCTTACTGTAAAACCTACAGGGAAAAGACCAAGTTTCTCCTGAAGATCTTCCACATCCTTTACAAGCACACATGTCTTCTTGTTTGTTGGTGTGTGCCAGTCACCGCCTCCTGTTCCTCGCCCGGGGCGACAAGGAAGGACACTATTGGCAAACTGTCGACACAGTGGGCATGTAAATTCACCTTTGTCAACAGAGAAACCCTGGAGGACCTGATCATTCTGGGGAAGAAAAAGACACGCAAGTTACATATGACCTATAGAATCTAAACTCAAAATCTGACAGACAACTGATGCTAGATGCTTTTACATATACTGCAACCAAACAGAGGGAAAAAATGAAAAGTCAAAATTGTCAGTGATTATTAATGAATGTTCTCTTGATCAATTAATTACTGTATAAGGTCCAAGCTTTCTCTTACCCTCAGAGACTCCATGTATGACTTTTGGCAATCTATATGTAAAGTGTGTCCACAGGTCTGGACATAGACGCCCCCATCCCAGCCTATTGACACAGACTGCAGACAAGAACTCTGCAGAATTCAAAAGAGAAGTCAGTCAGAGTATGCAAACAGTTCAGGCATTCAGTCGCCTGGACCTTTTGTTTATTTTGTGGTGCTGATGGTTTAATGGATTTGAATTACAAAGTGAATAATCTTATATTATTCTGCTGTGTTTTATAAAATATTTGAAAGGCAGCTTATTTTCATTAACAGCTAGACAACATGAGTAAATAATACAACACTTTATTTACTAAGTTACTGATATAAGGAAAGATGAGCAAAAAAAAAAAGTTAATGTAGGTCACTAACACTAGAAATTCATAGACTGGATGAGAACCCCTACAATCTGCTGAAGCTATTATTTTAAACATAAATCAATATCCTTAATAGTGCTTTCAGAGGTTTTTGCGTTTTTTCTCTTTGATGTAAAGTTTGCAACCTTTTCTGCGAGATACCCACATCTTTGAAGAACCGTTGCATGAGTGTGAGCCTGATATCATGAGCCACTCCGCATGTGTCTGCAGGGTAGATGTGCTCTTCATCGCTCGTCGGTAGGTTCTTTGCCCCTCTGCTTTTGCAGCGATGCCCAAGCACTGAAAAATAACCACAAAAAGTCAAAGATGATGAATCTGTAACTTATTTAGTACTTACATAAAAGATTTAAGGTCTATGACCAGATTTCAAGCACCGTAAGGACAGCAATTTGTGATTAATTACACTATTGACTAACCACAGATCCTTTTTTTTTCCTGGTTAATCATTTAGATTAAAAAATAAAATCATCCTCTAAAGTCAAAGATATTAAATTTAATGATGTAAAACAGAAAAAAGCTATTTTCACAGAGCAGTAACAGTGCAGGTGGATCAACAGAAAGTTTGGTATTTGGCAATAAATAAATTTATTATCAATATAAATATAAAATTATCTGTCAAATCGATTAGTCAACCAATAATGTGAGCCCAGCTTTGCTGGTAACCTCCAGCAGCCAAATTCAGAGGCTTTTCGTACAGTGAAAAATCATGTTTTTATATCACAACAGAAAGCTGCATAGCCTTGTTCTGAACTGTGTAAGTGTGACTAACTAACCAAACATCATTTATTTGGATGACAGTGAGTGATCCTCCTCTGTCCACAAAGATGGGGAAAAAAACCTCTTACAAAAGACGGCTCCATGGACAAGTGATCAGGGCTCAACATGAATCATAAACGAGCCAATTAAAGGAACAGTTCACCTGCCTATTACACATTCAGATTCCCAATATGGTGGAACAAAGGTGCTATAAATAACAGTTTAAAAAGCCAAGGCTGCCAACAGAAATATCATGCCTGTGAAACACACATGGAAAAGGAGGATCCTGGGAAGTACAGTACCTGAGGATGCCTGGAGGAGAACTACTAAGCCGATAGGTCGGTCCTCGGTAGAAGGTCCGCTCTGGCCACAAATCACACAGTCATAAAGAACCTCGGACTCCATCACTTCAGACACCCCTAGTTCCATTGCTGCTTCAATGTCAGGAGATTCTGTCGAAAAAAGGAACCTTACATCTAAGTTTGTGAAATCTTTCTGACAAATACTTTCAGACAAATTATTACACAATAGCACCGATATAAAATGATTAACACCATAAATATACAACTATAACAATGTGATACACTGCAACCAATGACTACTAAAATCTGGAAAAGGAAATTTTGAGAAGTTTTAACTTCTGTTCGTTCAGCATTACATTCATTTGTGGGTGAGCAAAAACCGTCCAACTGTGTGAGAAACAAATCCACTTAACAGTAATGTGGTCTGAAAGACTTTCCTTTGGGGACATGAGAAATAGAGGTAACAAATTATGAAGGGAGGTCACAGACTGCAACACATGCTACCAATCAGGTGGCAAATACCATGCTCATTTATGCAACACTATTTCTAAGAATAGACCTCTGATGTTTATCTTTTGGTGTATTCAATAATTGGAGTGTTTTATTATTTTTTTCAAGCTTACAAAACATAAACTAGCAGCAATACCATTTCATGTCACGTTTAATGTCCGTTTGTTGCAGGGCCCAACTTGTGTATACCCATATTGGAAACGTACATAAATTCACAGTCTGCTACCCCTCTCTGTGTGAATGGCATCATACTAGAAATTAATTACCATTGTGAAATTAGTTTTAAATGTTAAGAAATGTGTTCAATTTCAGCAGTAAATATTGTGTTAAAATGTCAAGCTGTGGTGGAAATTGATTTATTGCTTGTTGGAAGAAAATGCTCTCAGGAGAGGTCACTGTGTTCCTGGAGAAATGAAAGCTCTTTGCATTAGATGTCCATGTTACAGCTTTAGCCTCAGGCCATCCCAGAACACAGCCACTAAAGTGTTTGCGTTGCGTGGGCGCACACACAGACAGTACACAAACTGTTGGTTTGCTTTATGTATCTGGCATCAATTGGTATACACACACAATAGGTTTGCAAATTTTCAAATGTTAGCCTGTTAGGTTAATGGTAGCATTACTAAACACATCTGAAGTCAATAACTAGTAGACCTAATGAACAACAGCTGATTTAAAAGGGTCAGTTCACACAAGATGTAATCTCAGTAACCTCTATGTAGAACTGAACATAGGTTTGGTTTTATTTGTTCAGGTTTTGACATATCCGTCATTCTGCCTCCACCCCAATGCAATGGAGGTGGCAGATATTTGGTGTGCGGTGCCCATGAGACACATTTAAAAGTCTGTGACATCTCTTTTGAGAGAGCGCACACAAGTTAATCTGAATAACCAACAGAAAGCTATTTTTATATGGATCTTTTCTTCAGTAGAAAATAATTACAAGGAGAAACAACACAAATTCTTCGCAATACAGAAGATACAGAACAAATTAAATGCATTCATTTACATCAACTGAGACTGAGCGTAGTGTTTTTCTTACTCATAAATCCTAAATATATTTCAAGGTTTTGCCTTTGGATTCTGAGGAAAAAAAGTGATGTAGTACTTCTTAAACTCCCACGACCTGGTGTACTTGTCATGTTGTCAGGGAAAAAAGTTAATGTTACACTTGCTGAAGGAAAAAAATGCCAAATGAGATTTTGCAAGCAAACGCTAAGATACCTACAAACAAGCTATACTGCATTCACTTGATTAAAATATATCTTTCCATCCCATTTAAATTTTACTTCAGTACATGAGAAGTAAAGCAACTGAAGCTACTTCTCAGCACAAATTGTTTAGAAGGTCGGAATACAGTCCTGCCAGAATGGTGCATGTGATCACAGCAGCCATTATTCATTCACTAACTGTGCCGTTTCAGGGTGGGCCATGGGAGTTCAGCCCACTATTAGTGCTTTGATCCCACGTGCCCTCAGCCAGCAGCCACCCACACTCCACAGGAGCACTCTCCTCTCAATTTCTCCTAACAGGCCCACAGAGACCATGAGTGCAGACACAACCCACTGTCACCTTTCCTCAGTGAAAATATAGCAATGATAGCTATATTTCAGCCAGTAGTGCTTTTTTTTTAGGGCTACAGTAGCGAGATGTCCTTCAAACAAGAAGTATTGATGTGCATTGTTCTTTTTTTGTACACCTACAGTATGTCTGAAAAGTACATTTAATCATGGTGGTTGTTGCAGCTGTGCCTACTCAGTCTTCGCTGCAGGTGTAAAATCCTGTACATTCTGTGCATATTGCAGATTTTCCTTCTACATTTCTAGTCACTTTTACTCATTATATCAAATAAAAGACAGCTCGGAGAAATTTATTTCCTGAAATAAAGCTGATAATTAAGTTTGCTAAAAATTCAGACTTGAGCACTGTGCAATAATACAGTATGCTGGATTAGCAACAAATGGTTTGTTAGAGGTTTACCTTCATCACGAACCTCAACCTTTGCATGTCAGTAAACCCCCAAAAACAACAATTCAGCATTCCTTGCTCGTGTTTGTCAAGGTTATCGTAGACTGTATATTGCACTTTGATCTACAGCTATGTTACAGTAGGTATGCCAAGGTTATGTTGGCACTTGTGTCCTCCTGCTGATCGGCATGGCTCGTGCAGAGCATCCTGCCATGATAGAAGGCAAACTCAATTTGGACAGTGGCTCCTAATGATATGTTAGTAAATTAAAGCTCACAGACCATAAAACTGAGGCAACAGGTTGGTGAAAAACTGGCCTTTTCTTACCAACATCCATAGCTGTTTCCATGAAACTCTTCTGCCTGGAGGCAAATTCAGCAAGCAGTTTCTGCTGTCTCTCTCTAGCCCTTTGACGTCTGAAACAAAGAAGAATGAATAATTTACAATTTGAGGAAGATCTAGCAATCAGAACAACATCCAGGTCAATGCAAAAACAAATACTAAATGCATGTATGTATTTATAACATAACCAACTACTGAAATAAAAACAAATTTTAATTCTACCAGTGAGATTATAGAAAAGCATTTAAATGTAGTGCTGGCAATTCATTTCTTAAGCATTTTTTTGTTACATTTCTTAATTCTCTTTTCATCCCGATGGCACTGAATACATTAAATGCACCATCTGTGGCAGCAGCTGGGCTGAAAAAAGCCTGACCAGTAATTTTACTTGCTCTGAGCAAAACAAATTGATGGCCTACCTGCCTGTCAACCTACTTCCTACTTGCTCTCTGTTCATGCACTCATCACATGAGCCAAGAGTCTCCCATAAGGCCAGGCAGGCAGACATGTTACCGCTCTGTTTTTATAGCTAAAGCTAATGAGCTATGGCAGAGAGGGTATCCACAGCAGCTTTCAGTTGCAAATTGAGAATATATTGGAGAAAGTTACAACTAAAAAGAAGTTGGATGCTGCAAGAAGTAAAACCAGAATTAACATTGGTGGGGCGCCTTTGAACAATGGCGACAATTGAGTGAACAAAAGGGGCTAAAAAGTGACAGGATGGTGGCTGTGTTTCTGTTGGACAGATAATCATCAGTGTTGTTTTGTTTGGGGAGGATGTGTTATTTTCCTGTATGTGTTATCTGTAAGTAGACAGGAAGTGTGTGTTGCAGTGTGCGTTGTGTTTTGGAGGCGTGGCTTTGGAGAAAAGTCAGAACGAAAGGGTGGGAATTCTTTGGTTGCTTACTTTCACTTCACAAATGCAGTACAGTGTCTTAGGAATAAACACTTCATGCACACAGGGAATGTTTGCCCTGATCACCCTCAGCATGTGCAACAGATTTTTCAGTGTAGCAGGAGATACAGTCACACATGTCGCAGGTGTCTGATTTCTGTTGTGATAGTTGAATAGGATGGTTATTAAACTAATATGGTGCATTGAACCCCACCTTGCAGACTTACAGGGCCAGAGCTGACTGTAAATTAAGTCCCTAATAAGAAGACATAAACAAATGCTAACTGGAGTGTCACAGCTCAATAATTTTCACTGACCGCTTCAGGGGTGCTCACAACCAGGTGGAGTAATGGGCAGCAGCTTTTCACCACTACTGACCACACTGCTGCCTGGCAGTTTCCTTGGAAACAGCTCTAGTTCATATGAATGGGAGAGATTCTACCTTTACTTCTGTCCATGAGGAACAGGCAACCCCAAAAACAGGCCATTTTCAAATGGCTATAGCCCATAATATCCTTATCAGAGGAGGAAAAAAGGAGAGTGTGAGGTGATATGCTCCAGCTTGTGGCCTGGTCTTGCAATAAAGTTGTTCAATATACTGCAAGTATTGCTGGAGTTTTGGCCTTTTCGGCTTATTTTTGTTCATCTATGCACCTTGACAGTGGGTGAAATTGTGCCAGAAGAGATATACGTGACAGGCTGAGAGACTAATGATTTATCACATCTGCTTTAATTTGCATTCAGTTTGACTCAAACCTGTGCAGAGCGGAGCCGTGTAACTGTAAATCAATTGCTGTGAGGATGTTATTACACATATATTTGAAAAACTATGTGTGATTACATTACCTCTCTTCTTTATCCATGGCTTTTTTGTCAGTGGGACTGTTCTTTGGTGGCACCGGAGGACACACTTTTCCACAAATGTCCTGGATGCTACGCTTGATTTGGCAGCTGCGACTGGCTGCCTTGGTGAGGATACGCTCAATGGCTGTAATACCATCTCCATGAGTGTAACGGTTTGTGTCCATGTCCTCAACCCAGGATGCCAATAGAGAGTTTTGCTTGGAGGACAACTTCTGGTGGAGTTTGATGAGGAGGGACAGCATGCTCTCTCGGATCTCCAGGATCTCGGTCACCAGCTGCGGTGCTGAGCCTGGTGGGACCCAGCGCGTTGAGGAGCTCTTGGGCCTGACGACCTGGGCGGCTTCAGTGTTGCTGCGGTTAATTATTTCCTGGAACTTCCTCCTGCGCTCTGCCACAAGGCTGAACACCTGAGCCTCACGCAGGTTCTAAAAAAAGCATTAAACATTTTTATGTGAAACACTCTGCAACACCATGAGAACATGCATTTGTTTTTGCACAGGTAACAATGTTAAGCTCATGTCCTATGATTTAAGCTACAAGATCCCACTATAAATACATATGGTACATAATATACAAAATTATTTTACACCACTTGATATTTATAAAGTATCAAGCCCACACCATATCAACACAATATGCAAACAGACAGATAAAGAAAACTTTGTGACTGACATTCCTTTGGATCCCAAGTGCAGCAGGGTGCTTTGGCAGATCTGTTTTTAAGCACAAATACCATCTCCTAAAATTACACCAATAATGGTCAGATAGACTAATGGACTGAAAAGGTGCTTCATTACCATAGTCAGGCTGGAAAAATACACACAAAAATCCAATGAAATGTGCAATATAAAATTTCAGCTGATGTCTGACAAACACTATAATACAAATACCTACTATAGAGCCTACAGCAATCATATTCCTGGGGAAAATTCAAATCATCATGATGCAAAGGCACACAAGCCATCTGAAGGATTGCTATGACCCGGCCTAACAAAAATGACCTGAGCTGCACTGTTCATCATATAGCCCAGTCAAGGCAACATCAATCATACTGGCATGCGGTTAAAAAGCACTTACCCAAGCCTGCATTACACACATAATTAGTTTCAGCAGTCAAGAGGGAGGGAAACTGCTGAAGCACAGCATAAAACACACGCCATAACACACCAAGACAGATCCCCTTTGAAAAGCACAAGACAGGCACAGAAATTCTTTCATAATATAGATAAAAAGTAGACAAAATGCAGCTGCTGAGGCATTAAACCCATCAGCCTTTTTAGAACAATGGGTGCAGACAGCTACCTCTCTCCAATTCCCTGTAAGACGCCTGGAGTTCTGTGGAGCGAGTGAATGAGAATCAACAATATAAATAACAATGATATGAAAGAGGCACATGAAGGTACCAAACAAACCATGTAAGATGATAAATGAAAGGGTGAAGCTTAAAAAAAAAAAAAAAGACATCATAAGGCCAATATGTGTCAAAGCAATGACCCTAAAAGCCAGTAACATCTTGAAGCCTGACAACTTGAGTTAACCTCGTGTAATTTTAAAAGGATGTGCAAAAGTCTTTTTTCATATCAAGTTCCTGCACTGCAGGAAACACCATTTTAATTACTACTTGATAGGTTTGTGAATT